CTCAAAAAAAAAAAAAAAGAAACTCAGCAGTGGAAGAGAAAATGGAGAGACAAGCAAGGACTAGGTCACAAAAGGCCTCATATGCCATGCTAGGAAATTTGGAATTTATTCTGAAAGCCACATTTTAAAAAATACATATTGAGTTCCTACTATGTACTAGATGCTGGTGAAGGAGGTAGACATGATTTCTGCAGTCAAGGTTCCTAATGTAAATGATTTTACAATAAACAAATAGTTGTAAATTATAATAAATGCTAGGGAAAAAAATGTGGTGTTTTGTGAGATCCTAATGAGATGGAGACAGCATGGATGAGAATAACAGACCTAACTTGCATATGGTCAAAAGGGGCTTCTCAGTCTTACCAAGATTAGAAGAAAAGAGAACCATTCCAGGCAGAGGGAAATAATATGTGCAAAGACCATGGAAACATTAAATGGCTTGGCATATTCCAGGAAATGAAAGAAAGTCAGTGTGGCTGGGGTACAGAGGGCAAGGCAAAGAGTGGCATGGTGTGAAACTGGAGAGAGGCTAGAACATACAAAATCATGGCAGCCTCAGTAAGGAGTTCAGATTTCATTCCAAGTGCAGGAAACCACAAAGAAGTTTTATTTTATTTTATTTTATTTTGAGTTGGAGTCTCACTCCATCGCCCAGACTGGAGTGCAGTGGCCGCTCCTGATCACCCCAGCCTCGACCTGCTGGGCTCCGGCGATCCTTCTGCCTCAGCCTTCCAAGTAGCTGGAACTACAGGCATGCGCTACCACGCCCAACTAATTTTTGATTTATTGTAGAGATGAGGTCTTGCCAAGTTGCCCAGGCGAGTCTTGAACCCGCGGGCTCAGGCAATCCACTCACCTCAGCCTCCCAAAGGCACGGGATTACAGGCTGAGCCACCGAGCCTGGCTTACAAAGGAGTTTTAAACAGGAATGACATGATTTGAAATTTTTTAAAGATCATTCTAAAAACCTGATGGAAAACGAATTGAAGAGACAAAATGGAAGTAGAAAGACCATTTAGGATGGTACTAAAATTAATTATCTGGGGAGAGATGGTTACTTGGAGTAGGGCTCTAAAAGTGGAGATGAAAGGGTATGAGTAGATTCTAGATAAATTCTGGAGGTAGAATCTAAGGATTTACAGACAAATTGAATATAAAGGGTGAGGGAAAGGGAGAACTCAAGAATAACTGCTAGGTTTCTGGTCTGAGCAATAAAATAGATACTGAGATGGGGAACGCCAGGGGGTACTGGAGAGGATAACTGGTTTGAGGGAGATATCAAGTGTTTGTTTTCTTTTTTTAACATGTTAAGTATAGTAAGGTGAATAATGGCCCCCAGAGCTATTAGGCCTTAATTCCTAGAACACATAAATGCTGCCTTATATTGAAAAAGGGCCTTTGCAGATATGATTAAATTAAGGATCTTGAGATGGGAGGGTTATCCTCCCGTCTCAATTATCCAGGTAGACCCTAAAAGCAAACACTTGTATCCTTATAAGAGGGAGACAAGATTTCACAGATAAAAGAGACAGCAATGTGGCCAGAGAGGGATGAGTGATGCATCAAGGAGTGTCAGCCAGCAGTCATCAGAAGCCAGGAGAGCTAAGGAAGTCTCTCCCCTAGAGCCTCCAGAGGGAGTGTAGCCCTACTAACACCAGTGATACTGATCTCTGGTTTATAAAACTGTGAAAGAATAAATTTATGTTGTCTTAAGCCACCAAATTTGTGATACCTTGTTACAAAAAGCAGTCATAGGAAACAAATACATTAAGTTTGAGATGCCTATAAAGCATTCAAATATAAATTTCAGATAAGCTATTGGCTTAAAAGTCTGGAGTTCAGAAGTTGGAGTTATTGTTTGAAATATTGTACTCTTACCTCCAGATCCTTTCGAATGCTCTCAAACTCCTCAATGTCATCAAGTTTCAGCTCCAGGCGTGTTGGTTTTCGTCGCAGCATACTGAAATCAGCACTAAGGGCCAAACCCAGTGAACTATCAGCTATTAAAATAGCAGAGATCTTTACCTGAAATTACAGAGTAGTAAAGAAAAAAAAAATGACAGAGGGGAGGAAAAACTGGGGGTGGTCTCAGGTACAGACATAAGACCATGCACATTAATATGAATGAAAGTATTAAAAAAATTATTCAGATTCATACATAGACTTCTAAAGTTTTTAGGTATATGATTATGTTTTTATTAATAGTGGAGTTCCAAAACTCTGTAATTTCAAAAAACTCTTTCTGTAAGAACTTAAAATAGCAAGTTGCTTATAAGAGAGAATTCTAGGCAACAATCACTTTAATCTCGTGTTCCAGTCACATTCAAAGAAATACTCTAGCTAAAAGAATAAAGTTTACTATCACAAAATTGAATCTACTCTACAGGAGAATTGTAATCATTTGTGATCATTCCTGAATGCTAAAAACACTGCTAACTCTGGAAAACTTCTAACTCACCAATTCACAGGATTATCCTTAAGGTCTAAATGGATCCTAAATGGATAAGTCATTCATTAAACACTTCTTGTGTTCCAGCTACAAAATTAAAAGGTACAGTCACAATCTGTGGGGAAAAGAGAAAATTGTGATATAGTAATACCAACTCTGATGAGAGTAATGTATTAGCATCACATAGGCACCCGATCCAGTCTGGGCTGAGTGTACGGTAGATGTGGATATCAGGCAAGGGTTCTTGGAGGAAATGTCTTAATTGACTTCTTAATTCTTTTTTTTTTTTTTGAGTTGGAGTCTCACTCTGCTGCCCAAACTGGAGTGCAGTGGCACACTCCCAGCCACTGCAGCCTCGACCTGCTGGACTCCAGCGATGCTTCCGCTTCAGCCTTCCAAGTAGCCAGAACTACAGGCGCATGCTATCACGCCCGGCTAATTTTTTATTTATTGTAGAGACAAGGTCTCACCAATTTTCCCGGGCAGGTCTTGAACCCGCGGGCTCAGGCAATCCTCTCACCTCAGCCTCCCAAAGCGCTAGGATTACGGGCTGAGCCACCAAGCCCGGCCAACTTCTTAATTGGCAGGAATAAAGAAGTACACAAAGAGATTCAAGAGAGCACTCCACAATCTGAAAACCCAAGATAATACTGTGTTAATAAAAACCATTTTCTAGGAGAAAATACAACTCCCCCAACTGAGTTTAACGTCTGATAATGGCATCATCTGTACATTTTCTACAGCATCTGTTAGAGTGTATCTATAATAAGCAGTCAGTAAATGTTTATTGAAAATGAGAGATCCTTCCTGACCACTGTGCTAGATTTTTCCATTCACATTCTTCACATTCTTAATTTAATACAAAAACCCTGTGAAGCTGGCAAAATTATCCCTATGTTACAAATAAAGAAGTCAAAGCAAGCTGTTCAGTTTGGTTAATAACATCGGTCTCCTATAAAATTATACATAGGTCAATATGGTGAGGAATAAATGAGAATGATGTAAGTGAAAGTTCATAAAGTATGTACATATATAAAGCACTACAGGTATCTAGGATGAAACTAGAAACTAATATTCAAAGGAAGAAATATGTCCTTCTCCCATGAAGCTTGCGACATACACGTGACATTATCAACACAAAACATTGGCATGGTACATTTCAAATTGCTTTGTACTAAATCAGATCCTATCTTCTTCTAGACTCCAGCGTAGGAAAATGGTAGAGAAAGTCAAAGTTTTAAAGAGGGAAAGGAAGGAAAATTGGAAGAGGAAAAAAAAAAATCTACTATACATATTAACTTTTTTCCAAACCGTGAAAAGCTCACCACTAGGATGCAGTATAGAGTAATGGTTAAAACTGCTGGCCCTAGAGGCGAAAGGAAAGAGGTTCCAATTCTACACCATCGATTGGGAACAATTAGTTTCATCTCCCGTTAGACCTTAGTTTTCCCATCTGTATCTGTACTCAGGTGTTGTATGAACTGAATGACGTAATGCAAAGTAAGCTCCTGGAACATTACTTGACATTTAATAAACGCTCAATGAGTAACAACTATTATTACTATTGCGGTTGTTCCGGAGGGCTGGATGGGGGTCTAGTCAGCTTGGGAAATATCAAAATTTTGAGAATCTTCCAGCCCGCACAAAAGGATAAAAACCTTGTACTTTTCGCCTCTGATCTCCCAGCACCAGACACAACACCTATCCATCATCTATCTCGCTCTCAATCTGATTCAGACTACCTGAAGACAACAAAACCAAATCAATAACATCAGGCAGAAGCTTCTCCGCCTGGTCTTTATTTCACTTTGGCGCTGGAGGGCTCTTCCAGTTTAATCGTTCACGCAAACAGGGAGCCGCAGGAAGGACTTCCGGACCGTGGACAACAGCCCTCCCATCCCAGCTCCAGGCGGGCACCTCGGGTCCCAGGCGAGGGTTTCCATGGCAACCTCTGCTCCAGGAAGATGTAAAGGCTCCAGCAGACCCGGGAGGAACAGCAGGCCCCGGGAAACCCTTATTCGTTCCAGAGTGCTGCCCCGAGCCGCGCGACTCGACGCACCTACCTCTTTTCAAGCCTGCTCAGCCCCTTCCCGGAACCTCGGCTCCCCCCACGAATCTGTTACTAAGCCCACTGGACTCCACTTTCCAGAATGCTCTGAGCCTCTCTCCCCGCAGAACCTTGTCCTCTGCAAGCTTTTCTTGGAGGGTTTACAGGACATGCCCTCAACGCCACCACAGTCCTTCTTACTACGACTCCCATCATGCTTCGCGCCGCCCCGGGCGCGTCGTCGGCGGTGGCCCGACTTCCGGTCGGTGACGCAGTTCCGCTCTGCTGGGCGCGCGGTGGACGGTCTGAAACTTTGTGCTCGGCTTTAGCCGGGTCTCCGCGGCTCCAGCGCCCAGCATGGCTTCCTCACGAACCTCCTCCACGGTACCGAGATCGGGATGTCAACTCACTCGAGCTGGGAGCGCGGGGGTTGGGAGTCCCTGCGGGAAGGGCCGTTAAGGAGCGGGCCGAGGCGGTGGAGGGCAGAGGATGAAGGCTGTGGGACTCGGTGGTTTCCTAGAGAGCCGAGCAGCGGCTTTCTGATTCCTTACCTGCTTTCAAGTGCTGTAGCTCATTAGTACCTCTCCCGCTACAACCCCGAACGGTAAACACCTCCCACTGGTCCAAAAATGTACTCTATATTTGGGGAAATGTCTTGGTCAAGATGTATGTCTTTGTCAGACCTCAGAATTGTAATGAGGCCTCCTAACTTCTAATTTGCTTGTCACATCTGAAAACGTTTGAAATGTATAGACCATTAACGTTGTATATAACTTGTTCCCCCTTAGCACCGCGTTGATTATTTCACTTAGTGTCTCCCCAGTGATGAGCATTAACCTTGGAGGTATCATAAAACACAAGAAGAGATTGCACGTCCAGCAGAATGAAGTAAACATGTTCAAACCAAACCTTTGAGAGGAAAATCACTAAGAGAACTTTAATAATTGTATCGCGCTTTTATTTCCTGTTTACCAAATTTAAGTGACTGAGCATCATCCTTTGAGGAAGCCAGGTTAATTCCTAAGATTAAGCCTTAGATTGACCCAGGTCTTTGATTAAGCAGGCAACCAAAACTAAAGCACCTGATGACTTAGTCGCTCCCGTTGTGAAGAAACCACACATCTATTATGGGAGCTTGGAAGAGAAGGAGAGGGAGCGTCTGGCGAAAGGAGAGTCTGGAATTTTGGGAAAAGAAGGACTTAAAGCAGGAATTGAAGCAGGAAATATTAATATAACCTCTGGTAAGATGCATTTATGTATCCATCTTTATCTTTGATGCTTCAGTTTTCTGTAATAAATGCCTTCCCCTTAACTCTCACCAGTTTTATAATGTCAAAAAAAATTCAATTCTTAAACTCGTCTCTTTGCCTACCCACCCGGAATTACGCAGAGAGCCTCACTTTGTAGCCCAGGCTGGATTGCAGTGGCAGGGTCATAGCTCACTGCAGCCTCAAACTTCTGGGCTCAAGCAATTCTCCTGTCTCCGCCCCTCAAGTCACTGGGAGTACAGTGCACACTACTGCACCTGGCTAGTTTTTATTTGTTTTCTGTAAGGATGATGTCTCCTGTTTGTTGCCCACCCTGATTTTGAGCCCCTAGCCTCAAACAATCCTCCCAATTTGGCCTCCCAAAGGGATTACAGGTGTGAACCAACACACCCAACCCCCTACAACTTGTTTATACAGTTTTTCTTCCATGAATTTTCAATTTTTCCAAAATTCATTGTGCATTTGGATTCACATTTATTCCATTTGTCTTCTGGAGATCTAACATATTTTTGGCATTGGTTTGGAGCTACAGTGGTTCGTAATCTCCCATTTGAGGTTTTTGAATTTTTTTTTACACAAAATAATATATTTTTCAAATTATAAAAGTAATGTTATTTTTATTTTAAAAGATCACTGTATTGTGTGAAGTAGAAAATATTGTATTCCTTTGGGAGGCAGAGATGAGAGGATTGCCTAAGTCCAGGGTGTTCAAGACCAGCCTGGGCAACTTGCTGAGACCTCATCTCTACAATTAAAAAAAAAAAGCTGGGCTCGGTGGCTCAGCCTGTAATCCTGCGCCTTTGGGAGGCTGAGGTGAGTGGATTGCCTGAGCCCGCGGGTTCGGGACCCACCTGGGCAGCGAGACCTCATCTCTACAATAAATCAAAAAATCAGCCGGGCGTAGTAGCGCATGCCTGTAATTCCGGCTACTTGGAAGGCTGAGGCGGAAGGATCGCCGGATCCCAGCAGGTCGAGGCTGCGGTGGCCGGGAGCGGCCACTGCACTCCAGTCTGGGCAACAGAGTGAGACACAACTCAAAAAAAAAAAAACCAAACAAACAAACAAAAAAAGCCAGGCGTGGTCGCCCTCACTTGTGGTTCCAGCCACCTATTAAAGATAAGGTGGAAAGATCGCCGGAGTCCAGCAGGTGGAGGCTGTGGTAGCTGTGAACATACCACTGACTCTAGCCTGGTTAACAGTGAAGCTCCAACTCAAAAAGAAAAAAGAGAACTTGTATTCCTTACTAATTAGGTATATATCTTTCTGACAATTTTAATACAGCTGTAAAAATATATAGTTCTTTACCTGGGCACGGTAGCTCACACCTGTAATTCTAGCACTTTGAGAGGCCTAGGCAAGAGGATTGCCTGAGCCTGCGGGTTCCAGACCAGCCCAGGCAACATGATGAGACTTCGTCTCTACAATAAATAAAAAAATTAGCCGGGCGTGGTAGTGTGCGCCTGTAGTTCCAGCTACTTGCAAGGCTGAGGTGGAAGAATCACCTGAGCCCAGCAGGCCAAGGCTGCTGTGGCCATGATCATGCCACTGCACTCTAGCATGGACAATAGAGTGAGACTCCTACTCAAAAAAAAACAACAACAACACACATTTCTATCTTCTGGATAGAAGACCTAGTTAACATTTGCTAAAGATGTTCTGTACTCATACCTTCTGATCTCATCTAAGCTGTGTGTTTATATAGGTATAAGGTTGCCAAATGAAACAAAGGTGGTTTGAACCATTTTCCGGCCTTTAAAGCTGTGTCATTTAGGTTTATATGCTTGGCATAGTTTAATTAACTGAAAAACTAAATTAATCTATAAAATATGTAATGTGTTAGGCAGTTACTTTTTCCTGGGAGCATCCACAGACTCCAATTATTAGAAATTATTTCTTTCACTCTATTTAAAGAGTATCTGCTGATTTTTTTTTTTTTTTTTTTTTTTTTTTTAATAGGAGAAGTGTTTGAAATTGAAGAGCACATCAGTGAGCGGCAGGCAGAAGTATTGGCCGAGTTTGAGAGAAGGAAGCGAGCCCGGCAAATCAATGTTTCTACAGATGACTCAGAGGTCAAGGCTTGCCTTAGAGCCTTGGGGGAACCCATCACACTTTTTGGAGAGGGCCCTGCTGAAAGAAGAGAAAGGTGCCCTTTCTAAACATTTGCTTGTTTCTTTATTAATCACAGTGTTCTAGTCCAAATTTTAGTTGATCTTTAAGTTGAAACTTCAGTAGAATGCCTTAGGTAATGTTAACATTATTTTGTTGTGTTTGTATGATTTAGTCCATAATCTGAGTCTTAGGCAAATTTTTGCTCCACCTAATTTTTTTTTTGATAGACTGTAAAGAGGTTGCTAACATGCTTCCTTCCCAGTGTGGAGTTTCGAGTTGGATAACATTTGTTGTTGAGCTTTGAAAATTTAGACATTGAAAATATTCCATATCAGTGACATAAAACGTGATAATTATTTTGGGGGTATTATTGAAGAGGGGCACTGTCCTCACAGATAATGCTCCTCTTGTATTTTTTTTTTTTTTAAGTTGGAATCTCTCTCCATTGCCCCGGTTGGAGTGCAGTGGCACACTCACAGCCACCGCAGCCTCAACCTGCTGGGCTCTAGCAATCCTTCCACCTCAACCTTCCAAGTAGCCAAAACTATAGATGCACACTACCATGCCCAGCTAATTTTTGACTTATTGTAGAAGTGAGGTCTTGCCAAGTTGCCCAGGTTGGTCTCAAACCTGTGGGCTCAGGCAATTCACTCGCCTCTGCCTCCCAAATTGTTGGGATCACAGGCCGAGCCACCGAGCCCAGCCTCCTCTTGTAATTTTGATGTTGCAAAGTCTCTTAGTGATAGGCTAGTCATATGCAATTATGAGGAGCCCCTCTTGTTTCTATCCACTGTCCCATCTCTCCCCTTCATCAGGCTTCTTGGAAGGGTTAATAAATAACCCATAAATATGTACTTAAAGTTCTTACCCTCTTTAACCCACTGCAAACTAATTGACCCCTACCACATTGAAATTGTTCATTATTAAGGTCACCGACTCCTTTTTACACTGCCAACCACTTGTCCTTGAAATACTCCCTTTCCTTCACTCTCATAATACCAAATCTTTTTGATTTTCCTCTTCTCTAGCTGATTCTTCTACTTGTCTTTTTTGTTTGTTTGTTTTTGAGTTGGAGTCGGAGTCTCACTCTGTCACTCAGACTGGAGTGCAGTGGCCGCTTCCGGCCACTGCAACCTCGACCTGCTGGGCTCCTGCGATCC